AATATGCACATGGTGGACCACATATGTTGGTGACAATATGGAATTTCTGAGGGAATTTTGCAAAATTCTTGTTGGTTTCTGTACACTTCTACCCTAGTTTGTATATGGACTCCTATAATGAGTGAGGAAACTCCTAGGGTCAGCTGAGGAAAGCGATCATATATTACAACACTGTTCCCGACACTCTCAAGTTCTTTAGGCCCCGCATCGTGGAGGTGCCTGCCAACGAAGGTGTACTTCCTACTACGTCTTGTGGCGGCGCCATAGTTGGCATTGATTGGATTTCGGAAGATCGTATAGCTGTTCATGTTAGAGACTATGTGAGTGCAGGTGGGGTTATTCAGTCGCTTATATAGTTGTTATTAATATATGGGGGACTCGGGCAGGTTATCAGACATCACCCCTCTGTGCGCCGGAGAGAGCACCCTCGGATGACTCGACAATGGGATGCGGCATACGGACCTCGCTCCCTCGTTGTCCGTCCCCCTTGCTGAGTGGTCCGTTGGTGCGCTCTCCTGCCCATAGTTTGTAGTGTTGCCAAAGGACCCTTGGAAGAGTTTTATTATATCATTATATTTCCGAGAGGAAGAAACGAAGCGTTGATTGTTTGTAACGGCTCCGGGTTCGGATCTTGGCACGGGCTTTTTTCGAGCATTTTTCGCTCGCATATGTATCCTGGGAGTTGATAGCACAACATAGTTGGCAGTGTTGGAAAATATGCACAGGGTCAACTACATGTGTCGGCGACAGTATGGAAATTCTAGGAAATTTTAGGAAATTATTGTTGGTTTCTGAACACTTTTACTCGGACTCTTATGTAGACTTCTATAATTAGTGAGGAAACTCCTGAGCCTAGTTGAGGAAAGCGAACGTATACAATGGCAATACTGATGATTGTAATTGTGAATGGTTTTCAGACTGTATGTGTGAGCGTTGTTCATTGTTGTTACAGGCTGCTGGTGACACGATACTGCGCAAGTTGAGAGTCAGGATCCTCACGTACGCGAAGGGTTGGTCAGTTGAAGCGGACCTACCAGCTGGAGATGCATTTTCAAAACGGGTAGGATGGTAGACTGGTGATATTTGTAGAAAGCTCGTGTGAGTTCTGATATGCTATTGATAGTAATTGGTGTACATGCACAATTACATATTGGAATTAATAACACTATAGTGTACATGAACAATCACATATTCGAATTAATAACACTATAGTGTACATGAACAATTGTATATTCGAATTGACAACACTAGTGTACATGAACAATTACATATCCGAATAAATAACACTAAGGTGTACATGCACAATTACATATTCGAATGAATAACACTATAGTGTACATGAACAATTACATATTCGAATTAATAACACTATAGTGTACATGAACAATCACATATTCGAATTAATAACACTATAGTGTACATGAACAATCACATATTCGAATTAATAACACTATAGTGTACATGAACAATTACATATTCGAATTAATAATACAAATGTCAATTAGAAAATATGTTGGCTTTCCTCACCTGAGCTCGGGAGTGTCCTCACTGATGACATACGAGCTCTGGTAGAACCAATGGGAATTTCCCAAAATTTCCTCAAAATTTTCGAATTGTCACCAACTATGTGCATATTTTCCCTTCACACTGATTTGATGGTATTGTTATTGAATTCAGTCGTCACCATATTATCTCTTCATTACATCATCGCCATGTAAGGAGTTCCTCGTGACGGGTTGTGAAGCAGGAAATGTAAGTTCGCCATCTCCTGGGTTCACTAATACTCGGAACCTTCTCTCGTCGCGAATTTGTTATATAAATCGCGGAGCGAAGCGAAGCATACATTGTCACTTGGCAATTTACTGCTCGTTTGTTCAATATTCAACTACACTAGTTGAACTCTCGAGACACGTACTATTCAGAAGGTCGTAGCGAACGATATGAAATTGTCCATCGAGGCTAAGTCATCCGAAACTGGTCTGCTTCGTGACGATGAGCAGACAGAAAATGCGCGAAAAAAGCCTCTCGTGGGGATCGAACCCGCGACGGTTACAAACAAGTCGAGCTCCGTTTCTTCGTCTCGAAGGCCTAGTGTGGAAAATGAGCATTATTGTCGGAGAAAAATGATAGTCGATCCCGAGACCTGTATATACAATTAAAGAATATAAT